GTAGGGGGGGATGGTGGTGTTGAGCCACCCCCAACTGTTCCACTTAATATGTTGAAACATATAGTCGTAGTAGTACAAGTGATTCAATGCATTTGCTAGGAATTGACTATCCAGAATCTCCTACCTTCCTATTCTTATCTTTTTTCCCTTTTTATTTAACTAATCTCAAATTTCTTTAAATAATTAATTCCAATCTCCTACTTTCTTTTTCTTATTTTTTTTATTTAATTTCATACTTCTATGATTAATTATAACATGTATATATGTATAATTTCAAATTTGATGGTTATATTGTCAACAATTATTTTATATTTTTTTCATTTACAAATGTTTTATAAAATCAAATATCATAGTAAACTAAATCAACATTGATATCATTATTCAAAAAATTTACATATATAGATCAAGATTTTCAAGTCATAGATTTTTGTAATATCATGTTTATCACTTAAGCTATGAATTCTGTTTTTCGCTCATATCACATGTCTCACATTAACAATTTGTTTAAATATCTTCACATAACAAATTGAGCACATTTCTTTTGCTATCATCTAACCCCCCTAGATTAAAATTCTAGCTCTGCCTCTGATTATGATCATATTCATATCAACTTATTATTGTGTCCATCAAAAGGCTCCCTTTTGTTCAAACCTCACCAAAGGTGAGAAGAGTGTGTGAGTTTATTTGTTGCATTTTACATATATAAATATTATATACTTTAAAAAAAAGAGGCTCCCATTTGATTTTTAAGAGCAGAGTGAATGAAGACGTTGAAGCTGTAAATTTAAATGTTATTCTGCAGAGGCTGTTGGTTATGGAGATCCCCTTATTGCGGTCTTGCCCTCGTTTCATGATATTGTCATTTGAGATTTAGGAGCCGCTTACCAAGTGCTTACTGGTGTTTCTTACCTTACCGAGTAAACATGGCAAAGACCGGGAATATTTTTACTTACTAAAAGATGCTTACAAACAATCAATTTTGATGGCCGAGAATGTTATATGTAAGGTAAGTGACAGTAGGATTCTCTGTCGTATTAAATGTTCGCTTTTTAGGTGAAAATATAACATGTATTCACTAAACAAAATGTGTGAGAAACAATCACTGGTCATAGATATTTGTAAAGCAGTTTTCTTCTTCTTGTAGAACTGATCGTCTTGTAGATAGACCTCATGCTTCCTACTCCATAAATTTATGTCTATTTTCTATCTGCTTTTCAATTTGGATATCATTTCCGTTAATTTAGTTTCTTTTCTGATAAAAGGAATTTTTAATGATATTAACTGATAACTGAATTACTACCAGATTCGACATTATGACATAATATAATGTAATCAAGCTACTACATACTTATCCGAGATTAATATAATACCAAAGCTCCTACAATTTCTATAGATGTTTTGTTCTTTCGAGTGTAAGACTAGATTTCAGCACATAGTTGTAAATTTTATTGATGATATTGAATTTTCTTCACAATTGATAGTTTTTTTCACAGTTTTTATGTCACGTCATCCAACTCAAAAACTTTAATACATCTCTAGTTCTCTACTATGATAAAAATATCTTTGAACTTTATATAATTTGTTGTATTATTTATAAAAACAATGTATTTAAAATTTATACAAATACATATTTATTTATATCAAGAAAATATTACCTTAATTATGTATTGATTTTACATAAATTATTTATTTAAATACATTAAAACTATATACATACATACATATATATATCTTCAAAAAGGTACTAAAAAGATTTGGTAGGTTGGTGTTTAAAAAAGTGTGTCAAGCCACAAAACACATCTCCATTGTTACGAATGATCCATAGTGTTTCTGTAAGATGTGACTCATGTCATGGCCCTTTCAGACATGTCATGATGCGTCGCAATGTACGTTTTTTATAGGATGCAAGTTCTATAAATCCTTAAAATTTATAAATTAGATAAAAAAAATTAGGTTATCAAAAAATCTGTAGAAATTATATAAAATTACATACTATTTTTCTCTTTAAAAGTAAATTTCTAAAAGTTGAATTTTAAAAAATCCTTAAAAGTATAGAATTTGTCCAAATTTACTCTTTATACTAATTTAAACATATCAAAAATATAGTTATTTATTAACTATATTTAAATGTAATTACTTAATTATATTTAAAAATATATTAATAAATAAATCTTACCGACTATAAAATCTTCATAAAATTCTATAAAATCTAAAATTATTAAATACAAAAACCTCTCAAAAAACAGGTTGTAAAAGTCTAGTAGTTATGGCCTGATCAAAAACCTCCCACAAATGTCCTAAATACCCCATACCGATGCTCTTATAGCTTAATTTTCAACCAAAACTGGTTTCCTCGGCTAAAGACAGGAAAAAGGGCATCATCCAAAATATACCACACCTTGTAAAGCTTTGCCATGTATCTCAAAAACATTTGCAACTCATGAGTTGCATGAGTTGCAAAGGTACAACTTGCCATGCTGAATTTATCCATGACTTTTTAACGCTTGTACCAAACAAAGTATAACATGTTTTTTCTCATATCAATTTGAACGTAGCTACGCGTATTTTCCATCACTACCCATTCCCACCCTACACCAAAAAAAGGCTCATGTTAACTACCAAAAACTCACTTCATTACAATCGCAGAGAATTGGCTCCTTTTCCCAATTGCTTTAAGATCAGCAATCTCCCAACAACTTCCCTCTTTATAACATTCAACCTGCCAAGAATTTGGCGAAAAAACGTTAGTCGAAAATTGAAACAGTCACCAAGTTACTAAATTTCTCTTGATTGGGTTACGTACAATGTCCAAAACTTCATTGTTTTCCGTCAATCCCCCGATAGCATAGAGCTTTTCTCCCAGCACAAAAGCACCAAAATTTCCTCTAGAGACATTCATGGGTTCGACGTCCACCCAAGAACCCATGCGGGTATCAAGATATTCCACCGTGGGTATGTACTTATCTCCATCATGACCACCAATAGTGTATCTATAAAGAGATGGACAAAGTTTTTAGTATAAGGTATTCAAAAGAGTTGCAGGCCTTTTTCTTGGTGTACAAGCACAAAGTCCAAGGACCTAAACTTAGGGGCCGTTTACTGAATGTTTACCAGGTAAGCGGTTACCTTACCGAGTGAACATGGTAAGGATTGAGAATCTTACCCGGTAAGCGAGTGAGAAGACTCTTACCCGGAAAAAGATGCTTACCAACAATCAATTTTGGTGGCCAAGAATGTTACGTATAAGGTAAGTAAGTGTGGTGACTCTTGCTGGAGAGCATTAGGTAAACGGCCCACTAATCTACTAAAATATTCCCTTCATATCGAAATAAATGCAACTACGCACCAGTTGACTTGTTTAGGACAGGCAGATTGCAGAATGAATGGTATAGTAAGATGAATACCAGTACTGATCTAATGGTTCGATAACTATACAGACCTCAGAAGTACGCTTTAGACAAAGGTAGGAACTTACAGTTTCTCGTTTAGTACAACCATCGAATGGCAGCCTTTCCTTGCATTCATGCTTTGAAGTTTGCACCATGTTTCTTCACGAGGATCAAACCTTTCAACAGAGCTGCATGACAAAGGATTGTGCATCCGATTAATGATGGATGTCTTCTTGTATACACATAAACTGTGTTATTGAACCAGAGAGACTGCTGTCAAAGTATTCAAATTTCAAGACTTAAAAGATGAAAATGGCTAGGGATTACATGCATCCCACCCCAAAACACTGCTTTCAAGTGGGGTGTGCCGAGTCCATTTGGTTTGGTTTACTTAAAGATGAAAAGGTCTCTCAAGATTTTCTTCTGATTTATGACTATAAATGGAATAATCTCTTAATAGAGTTATTATATGTTACCTCAAATAAGATCGTCCATCGTATCCACCAGTAACATAAAGTGAGTTGTTCAGTTCTGCAGCTGCCGGAGCTAACCTCTGCATAAGAAGTTACAGCTTAGAGCAAAGAGATACATATGAAAACATATTTTCGTGAAAACGAACATAAAAATACCATGTTTTGCATTGACTGGGTGGGAAGCCACTTCCCGATGTTTAGGTCAAGATACTGCACCTCTGAAGAACATTGGTGTCCATTACCACCACCAACCACAAAAAGCCTGTCTTTTATTGAAGCCCCAGCGACGTGTATGTTCTTCCGATATAAAGGTGGTCTTGATACCCACTGATTTTTTGCCAGACTGAATGATTCAACTACAAAACGGAGAGTTGTGAGGACGTGTCTTAGTAGATTATGATTGAACTTTTCCTATATGTACGAAGTTAAGAAGGTTATTACCCGTATGAGCTCCCTCACCACCAAAATGGTAAAGTTCACCATTTAAGGTTGCCGCTGATGCATATTTCTTCACAAAGCTCATCGGGCTAAGTGATCTTTTGATATCCGAATATGGACTATAGGAATCTAGAGTTGTTAACCATGAAGAACCATCATATCCCCCAAAAATGAAAACAGAATCAACAAAGTTTGAGAGGCAAATTCTCAGTAGCTGATCATTTACGTCAGTTGGATCTACAATGGATGGTGATCCAAATTCCAATAAACCAATCCGGTTTCTAAGCGACTGGATTTCTAGTTTTGATTCACCCTGAGTGACCAAATGAAATAAAGTCAACGGGTGCAAGCATTTTAATTATGCAGGGACAACTATTCAACATAATAAAAGATCAGCATCTTTGAAGCTCAGGTTAACTTTTCCAAGAAAGCACTTAAATAGAACATTAAGAAAAGTATATAACATATCAGAGTTGAAGATTGTACCAGTTCTTGCTCTAGCATATTCACTTTCACAGTATGTTTCAACTGTGAAACCTTCAATGCTTCAACTTCTTGGTTTAACTTTACACAATAGTAATATGATATTGATTAGACTAAAATGTAGGAGAACAGAGAAAAATGAATGGTACAATAAGCATAAAAGCATGAACCTTAATTTACCTTGATGACCAATGATTCAAGATTTTCGGACCTCTCGGCAGCTGTATTTGGAAATAAAGAACTGTCTTTCTCATGTTTTTCTTCTACACTGCTCTCATTTTCCTTATCACACAAGGACTGCTTGCTATCTGGATTGTAGTCTAAAGGTTGATCTGAAGAAGATGGTGCGTTTGTTTGACCCTGGTCAACTTCATCTGTACCGGTGGCAATGCTTTCCTCCCAGGTATTTGCTTGCAGAAAGTTGACACTATCATTGTATTCTTGGTGCAACTGCAACTCATCTGTAGTAGTGTTTGCTTCAGGATTCAAGTGTGACACCCAAGTTTGAGTACATTCAGCATCTGTAGTAGTGGCAAGAAGCTGGCTGTCCTCGCAAGTGTTTGCTTGCAGGAAATCAGCCTTATCTTGATACTCTTGGTTCTGTGGGAACTCGTCAACCACATCATCCCAAGAATCTTCATAAACCTGCACACTTTGATAGGCAGGAGAGTTTGTGACCCAAGAAGATTGTGGTATTATTGATGAGTCTGATGCAGAGAAAGATGAGCTTGAAGCTTGGATCGGACACTTGTAGTCATTAGTCGACTCAGAAGATGATTGACCTTTGAATAAACCACTCCAATTTCCTGTAGGAAGGGAACTGGTAGCTGTAGCGGTAGTGGAAGTATTGTTTCCGCAGAGAGCAGAAGCATATGAAAGCCCTGGTCGTAGAGGGGTATCCGACGTGCTCCCCGTTTTCTTGGCTTTCTCTGTATGATCAAAACCAACTTCTTCCCAATTATGCATAGCATTGTATGCCTGTCCTTTCGCAGATACAGGCAAAGAACTGGAATTCACCGGAGATGATTGAAACAATGAGATCAGGTTGTTTGTTTGACCAAGATCCAGCTCAAAATAAAAATGATTGCTCTCGTAATAGTTCATTGCAATAATTGGCTGAAAGTTATTCTCGGACAATGGATGGCACTGCAGTCTAACTCGAACTCGGACCTTGAATGCAAACCACATACAAAAGTAAGTATCAGAATGTGTTTTCATCCTAAAAAAAGGTTACCACAGGCTATCAGCCTGTGACGGAGCTACTACATTAAGATGGGAAATGATACCTGTGCAGGATAACTCGTGTAGCTATCTCCACCTGCAACCCATGCATACTTGTCAATGTTCATCTGACCATGACTTGCAGCCTCAAATATTCCATGAAGTTTACGGTCACTGTAATTGAATAAAAATAGCGCAAGCCCTTTGGTGATGTTCTTTATATAGGAGTAGTGTAGTGCTGGCAAACCTGTTCGACAAAAATTAGAGACATACCACAGTTCATCATGAGAAACACAGGAAATTATGACTGTAAAAAGAACCAAAAGAGACGGTGAGAAAATAATCAACTAACCAAACAATTTTTTTGAAAGGCACTCATTGATTGTGCTATTTGTGCAACCCAATATAACAGCACCAAGATCAGCTTTCCTGATGTTCCTAGCTGGCACACTATGGTTGGAAGACACATAGGCTTCTTTTTTGTCCTTGTCATGGATTTTCTTTTTCCTTTGCTTCCGGCCTCCCATTCTGCTAGACAACTGCATACATCCACCACCACCACTATTAATCAAACTTAGCACTAAGACAATTTTATGAAATACAAAAGCAAAGACCAAACATTATGATAAAACACAGACATAGCAAACGACGATAGTACACAGATCATAGAAAACAGAACCAATAAAACAGCTACTGTAAGAGATAGTATAGCCTTTGCGATCAAAGAAGTGAAAGCAAGAATGCTTATTAAAGAGAAACAAGGACTTCCTCCTTTTTAGTTTTCTAGAATTAAAACAAGCATTTCCTCTTATGTTGGAGGGAATGTCTCCTCTTGTAAGCATTTCATATTTGGTGGAGGGAATGTCTCCTCTTGTATGTCAAAAAATAAAATATAATTTCCACAAGAAGTTGATAATTATGAACAGTTAAATTACAAGATCTGGTCAAACAGTTAACCAAATTGTGTTTTAAGAATTAAGACATGGTGTGAAGACCACCCAAAGTACAGATTTAAACACCATTTGGATGCTTGGTGTACAAATTCATGTAGTATGTTCTTTGTTATCTTTTGTATCAATCACAGATAACACATCTAAGAAACTAATAGAGCAGCTGGCCAACAACAAACATATACAACCAAGTTTTTCACAAACCAAAAGCACACGTTCGTATTGGATAATAACTTCACCACTTATATCATTATATCAACATCGAGTTCACAAACCAAAAGCACATGTTGATAGAAGATATGCAAACAAACAAATAAAGAAGAGTGGACACTCGATTTATCCCGATTACACGTAATTTAAGCTTTTCACAAATATCATTGAAAACCTTTTCACAAAATAATAACAAAGACGAGAATAACACCACGCTTGCTTCGAATTTTATAATCCCTTTAAGTTGTAATATATGGTCTAATGTATCAAAATTTCCTCAACCTAGACTAGGAGCAACATCTCACGTTTCCACCACCAGAGCAAAGAAAGCAAATAACAAATATTGAACGCATTTCTCCACTCTTGTTATACAAACTCAAACAAAAGCCTCTTAAGAACAATAATACAAGTATCGTCTATTACTTGATCAATCCTCATCGTCGTCTATTTCACACACACAAACAAATTAGTTGAAAGCAACTAGAAGTTAGAGGTGGAATCATCATTCTTCACTGAGCCTGAAGGAGCCTGATGGCTTGGCTTCAGTGTATTCTTCACTAAGCCTGATTAGATCCTACATCCCTTATTAAACCAACATAAGTTCAATCTGATCAAATATTTTCACTAACACCGTTCATCTGCTGAAAACTTTCACACAAAAAAACTAAAGTAAAAGATGTAGAAGCAACTTAGGCATCGATGACCAGTAATCAAGTCCGTACGAATACGATCGACGTTTCCAAAAGGAAAAATGTTACTCGATTCACAATAAATCCAAGCAATATGATCAAACTTTTTCACAAATATCAATAAATAGGAATGAGAAAAACTTAACTGACTTTAATGGCGGAACTCTGAGCCCTCCTGCCGTCCGACGAACCAAAAAAAAGCCTGCCAGAGCGAAAACAATATGCGAAATGTTTGAATATACAGTGAAAATAGAGAAAAACGTGAGTTGTAGAGCGTTTGCATGAGATTATAGTAGAAAATCTATGGTGATCCGAAACGACGGCATTACGCCGGAGATAAGGAAAACAACAAATAGAAGATGAACCGGAAAAATGATGAGGAAGCGGAAGAATCACAGCTGAGGAGGGTGGCTAGGCTAGTAGTAGCTAACATGAAAGTGGGCCTATCTTCAATACGTGCACCATCTCCCTGTTGTAGGTAACTGCTATTTTTACCGTGACGTGGATATTTTTCTTATTTTGGTACAAAATTGGTCGTCGTTTTTTCACAGGTCGTCTTCTAGATTTTTCTATTAGAGTAAAATATCTACATATTGTTAAATTAACTTAACAAAATTATGTATTTTTAAAATCTATTTTAACTTGTACTTATTAGATCTTATAATATTTAATGATATAAATTTTAAGTTGTTAATTAATATTTAATATATATTTATGGTAAAAATGTTGATCCAATATCTTGTGAATAAAAGTTGAACTATGTTTAATCACAATATAATCTCTCACAAACTTTCCAATTTCTTTTAAAAGTTTTATACTTAAAACAAAATAATTACTATATATGACAAAAAATTAAATACATAAATTTTATAAAATAATGTTTTAAATTGGATTTAATTATAAAAAAGTGAGGGGTTGTTTGTTTACCTCTTAATGATGCCATTAAGAGGTAAATGTCTGATTCGATCAGACATTTTCTTGTTTGGATGAATTTTAAAAAAATGTCTGAATGGTTCAATTAACCCTGAATCGCTCCTTCACCTATTTGCTCCCCATACGATTCATATATGCAATTTTCCTACGTTTGCCCTCCTCGCCTCTTCTGGTTCATCTCTACACTCTCCTCCTTGTCGATAAAGCATCTACACAGTTCCTAAAACCACTGAATTGTTCATCTTCTGAGGGTTTTCCCGTAATTGCCTTTTATTTCTCACATCTACTGCTCATGTCATCTCGTTTAGTCGTCTTTCCCATGTTGCTCTCGGCCATTCATTGTTGTGTTGCATCTCGTCTCTTCATTGTGGCCTTGCATCTTGTCTCCTATCTGGTATCTCAATTATTTTTTTGCTGAATTTCTTTATCGCATCTACTATATGGCTTTTGTGGGTTTGCTTCTCCTATGCTAAATATTAATGCTTCTTCTATGTTGCTTCTCCAAACACAGTGGGGTGGGGTGGTGATGTGATGGTTAGACGGTGTTTGTAGTCTAGTTTAATTACCCCATTGTGTTCCAATATTGTGATTCTTGATTTTTTAGTCTGTTGTATAGAAGATTATTCATAGGGATTTTACAATTAAAGGCACATAATGTGTTTGAGTATTTGTCTCAAATAAATTTTTTATTAAATGCGGCCTACGTCTGTTTTTTTTAATCCCACATTGTTATTGTATTTCGATTTCTCCTAGTGCAAATATGTTTGAGGACTGTTGTTTCTTCCTCTTTGTATTTTGATTTCCCCTAGTGTAGATCTGTTTTTTCTTCAACCACCCATTGACCTAATGTAGAGATGGAATGGTTGTTGGTTGAGGATAGTTGAAGTGGAGCACATGTTAATTGACCATTCTGTTGGTTGGACCAATTGTGAACAAAATGAGTGTAGTTTGTTTGTGGGTATGTTTCTAATGATCATTAGCTTGTTTCAGTTACCTCATTATGTTTGGAACATTGTAAACATTTGTTTTGATGCTAGTTAAACAATGGTAATTACCCTCCCCCCCCCCCACACACACACACACACATATATGTATATGTACATATATGTATTCGTGTTAACTTTGTTAACCGATCTTGGCCATTCAATCTTTCAATAAACGGTTGTGATTAATCATGATAAAAACTTACTTTATTTAAATTTAAAATTGCATAAAGATAAGTGAATAATGTTGAAAAGGGTATTTAGGTAAAAAAATGTATGTAACTCCCGTATCATTAATTAATTGGGAGTTACAAAATCAAAAATTCTATGATTTTTTTGTTAATGTAAGAACCATATGAACACAACTATATATATATATATATATATATATATATATATGAATCATTGTGTCAAATACGAACAAAAATTTGACATATATATGAACTTGGACTGCATAGCATTTATGAACACAATATGAACATAATAAGAATAACTGCTACACGAAAGAAAATAAATAAAAAAACATGTATGAACACGATATGAACAGCTTGTGAACAATAGTTCATTCATTATAAACACATTCAAGAGCGATACTTTGTCAATTGGAGTTTTATATATGCATTGCATTCACACCGTTTAAGGTTCACCCCTTGTTCATATATGTTTCTGATCTTATATGGTTTGTTCACCCCTTGTTCAATAGTACCGTAGAAATATGAACACATTATGAACGAGTGATGAACATGAACAATAGTACCGTAGAAATATCGTAGAAATATGAAYACATTATGAACGAGTGATGAACATGAACAATAGTACCGTAGAAATATCGTAGAAATATGAACACAGTATGAACGAGTGATGAACATGAACAAGCCACATATTGAGAGATTATCGTAGAAATAGTATGAACACATAACATATATGCTATGAACACGTGGTGCAATTAAAAAAAAACTATCAATACAAGATGAAATATAAAAAACATAACACATCGTAATGAACATAATTCTTTTTCTAATAAAAATATTAATCTATTACCAAGACATTCGCTTTGGTTAATTTCTTCACTTTCCGAACTCGAACTCCAATTGTCATCATCAACCATTTTAATCTTCTCACTGTTGTCGATTTCTTTTCCATTGCGTTTATCCATATTAGTTTGATCGATACCGAAAATTCTACCACAGTGTTTCCTATGCGAATTAAAAACTCATAAAACAATGAACATGAAAAATCAAGATTAAAGAATATATATATTATATATATATATATATATATTAATATTATAAATGCATATGTAAATTGATTTGATGATTTGTAACTCCCCATTAATTGTTTGGGAGTTACATATCAAATCAATTTACTGAAATACCCTTGTAATTAACTTGTGAATATGACATAAACCTACTAGAAGAATGAAATTTGATTGGTTAATATGGTTTGCAAAGTTAACACAAAATTGTTGGTTAACATTTGATCTTCCCTCTATATATATATATATATATATATATATATATATATATATATGACAAACTTATTGGATTTGGATATAGTTGTAGGGTTGGCTTAATTGTCAATGCATCAATAATTTGGTTTTGCATTTTGGGAAGTATGTTGAGAAAAATAACTAGTATGAATGGTTCCAAGATGTTAAGGATCGCTCATTCGTTAACACTCGGCGATAACATTCAGAGGCGTTCTTTTTCCTCCGTTGCCCTTGTTTCTCTCGTCTCTTGTGGACAGCAAACAATGAACATTACACTAATCATAGAGAAGATGTCCTAACACACTATATCCCCCCTGTCCCAATATATTGAACTATGAGAAACCTTGTATTGGACAACCTATTCACATGACAAACACTCATTTTTCATTCTGCACTAAATCATACAGAGTCACTTAATCATTCTGATCACTTAATCATTCAAAAACAAATCATTCAGCATCTGCCAAACGACCCATGAGATTGAGTTAGAGTTGAATATTGTATAGGTAGATGAGATTAAGTTGTAAAAGATTGTAAGTAAACATAGTGGGTGTTTGAGATTGCTTATAAAAATAATTTATTGACTTATTTCGATGTGGCACTAGTAATAAGCATTTTTGAGTGTTTGGATAAACAACTTTTATACCGGTGTCAAACCGGCAATAAGAAATTTTTGAAAATGTTAAATCATTCTAACTTATAATAAGTTGATAAAGACTTTTGTAGAAAAACATAAATTGTTCTTAGTAAGCAATCCCAAACACCCCCATAGTAAAGAAGTAAGATTGGTTGAAGTTGAAGACTATGTACATGGATGAAAGATAAAATAATATTTTAATTGAGATTGAGTCAAAAAAGATCGTGATTAAAGATAATCTTAGTAAAATCTTGATATAGTTTGTAAACTTGACATTAATATTATTGAATGTTACATAGTCAACATCTTAATGATCAAAATGAGTATGAAATAAATTTTAAAATTTTGTTAAGAATATAATTCAATACAACAAATGGAAACTAAGACAAAATTTATTATGTTTTACTCTTTTTTATTGGTTGTCTCTTGTTTTTAATTATTTATTCCAGTCTTTTTATATCAACCCAGTCATTTTACTACTAAACAAGAAGGAACCCCAAACGCCCCTTTTATTGGGTAAACTTTTACTAATAAAAGTTATCAAATTATCTTAATGAGTAACATTCTCAGTCATCAAAATAGATTTGTTCAGTAACTGTTTCTTATCTAATCAGGATTAATCGGATAAAAGTATTGTACATCACTTATATGATAAGATTATTGATTCTTATCATGTTCACCTAATAAGATAAACGATACACACTTAGGGGCCGTTTATCAAATACTTACTTTGATAAACGTTTACCAAATTACATTACCTCACCGGATGAATATGGTAAGGACAAAGAATTTTACCCGGTAAGAACGAGACAAGGGCCATGAGTCTACCTGGTAAGTGAGGGCGACGATTTTTACCACGATAAGCGTTTACCGAATGAATTGTTACATACAATGTCGTTTTGATGGATTAAAATTTTACCTGATAAGTAAATAATAATGTTAAATTTTACCGATAAACGCTTACCGGATAAGTGATGGGTAAATCTTTACAAAATTTTGATATACTTATTTAATATGAAGGAAAAGGCCACTTGGGAGTTATGGATTGCAAATAGGATTTTTTTGGAGGGTTGGTGTTACAAATGCCACATAGTTTTGACGTGTAAACACGCCACTCATGTATAATATATCTGCCATGTCAGAAAATTAAAAGCCAAACGTATGGACCAATCCCCTTCCATTTTGCATTTTATTTCTTTTTTCTTTTTTGAATTGCAAATCTGCAAAAAAGAACCGTGAGAGGATCCGCTGCGGAGACCAGCGATGGAGGCCCATGCTCTCCGAGGCTTCCACTGTCCCAACAATGCACAGGTAGACACCCACCACCACGCACCAACACGTATTCGTAGCCTCAATCCGCTATCCTCGCCGGAAATTGGTCAACGCATCTTTCGTGTCGCTACTACAACCGCCAAGAAAAGGCCTCGTCACGTCAGCATCGGCGCTGTTCACAGTCGGGGGGAGGAGGAGTCTGATAGCGCAGGTGAAGTTCGGCACAGAAGACGAGATGTGCTGGTGACGCCGTTTATTGCGATCGGAGCTTGTGTATTCCGGTCGGCCGTAGCGAGGGCGGATGAGAAGGTGGCGACTGAGAGTGCGGTTGTGCCGGCTGCCGTCACGGAGACGAAGGTGAAGGCCACGGAAGGGGTGACAGCGGCGAAAGTTGAGGTGAAGAAGGAGGAGGTGATCAATTCAAGGATTTATGATGCCTCGGTTATTGGAGAGCCTATGGCGGTGGGGAAAGACAAAGGGAAGGTATGGGAGAAGCTGATGAATGGTCGGATAGTTTATTTAGGGGAAGCGGAACAAGTGCCGACTCGAGATGACAAGGAATTGGAGGTTGAGATTGTGAGGAGTCTGGCGAAGAGGTGCGCGGAGGTGAATCGCCAGATTACGTTGGCTTTGGAAGCATTTCCAGCTGATTTGCAAGAACAACTTGATCAATACATTGATAAGAGGTCTGATTCCTGTTAGATTCGTCTTAATTGCCAGTATTACTGTACAATTTGGTTTTTATGTTGAGCAATGTTCTCAACTTGCACTTTGGGAATCAGCAGCAACAAAATTAGTTTAAGCAAACCACGAGAACTGTAAGAAATGAAAAGGAATATATCTGAAGTATCATTTTAGAGTACCTTTTAGGGGTTAACACGGATGTTGATTAGATTAGGTCCATAAGTGAGCAATTAGATGCTTCACTCCTTATGGAAAATTGCTTTATATGGTGCTAGGGGTTTTAGTGATCATGCAGCCAAGACCATTTATAAAGTTATTTGAGTGAGCAATGAGATGCTTACGGTGTGGCTTTGGTGATTTCTTGTAGTATATCTACATCTCAGTCTGGACCTAAGTGAACTTTCTTCCTATTATGGGTATATCGTTGCCTTATTTGAAGTATATTATGCAGAGTGATTCATCTGTATCCCAACAGTAATGGATGCCTGTTAAATCTTGACATAGATCTAGATTGCATACCTGGGTCCGTTTGAACTTAATATGTACACTGGCTGCATGATAGCATGAGGGTTGCCTTTACTTACATTCATTCTACTTCAAATCTATCTCAACTTCAGCCTAAGCTTCTTTCTAACGTACAGGTACAATTTGACCAGAAACGAAGTTAAGATTTAACTTCTGTTGAGCTGCAAAGAGCACATACTATATCTACGTATATATTTCCCCATTTGTAGTTCTCTTCTTACACTGCTCAATATTAAAGCTAATAATGGATGGCAGAATTAATGGGGAGACCTTAAAGCCTCTTGTGTCACACTGGCCACCTCAGCGTTGGCAGGAATACCAGCCTCTTCTAAATTACTGTCGTGATAATGTAGTCCGGCTAATTGCATGTGGTACGCCACTTAAGGTACTCTGTTCCTAGTATGCACCAATATACATACAATATACATATAGGGGGAAGCTGATGATATGATTCAAGCTGATGCTAATCTAGACTACTTATAATTGGTGTGATATATTTCTAGATCTTGAGGACTGTCCAGGCTGATGGTATTCGTGGGCTTTCTAAGGCTGAGCGTAAAGCTTATGCTCCTCCAGCTGGTTCAGGATTTATTTCAGGCTTTACATCTATCTCACGTAGATCATCAATGGATATCAACTATGCAAATCAGTCTATTCCTTTTGGGCCAAGCTCATATCTATCTGCACAAGCCAGAGTTGTTGAGGAGTATACCATGTCTCAGATCATTTTACAGGCAGTCACAAATGGAGGAGCTGCCGGAATGCTGGTGGTGGTAACTGGTGCAACCCATGTTGCTTACGGATCAAGAGGGACTGGGGTACCAGCAAGAATTGCAAGGAAGATGCAAAAGAAAAATCAAACAGTTATATTGCTTGATCCTGAAAGGCAATACATCCGACGGGAGGGTGAAGTTCCTGTTGCTGATTTCTTATGGTATTCTGCTGCCAGACCATGCACGAGGAATTGCTTTGACCGTGCTGAAATTGCCCGTGTTATGAATGCAGCTGGCAGAAGGAGAGATGCATTGCCGCAGGTCAGTCAGAAATGTTCTTATTTTGCTTTCTTTAATCAGATTAATTCTGAGACATCATGGCATCCTTAGAAAAATCCTTCTAAGAATGTTCTCCATGCCGGTTGGAGTCCTTGCTGTGACAATCAATTGGAGAAATATCAGAACTATAGTATAGATGTTTGCAACCGTGCATATCAACTATAAGGACCTTTTTCGTCATGTCACAATAACAGTACCAAATTGTACCTTTGTCAGGATATCCAGAAAGGACTGGATCTTGGTCTGGTATCTCCCGAAGTACTGCAGAATTTCTTTGATCTGGAGCAGTATCCTCTTCTTTCAGAACTTACTCATCGTTTTCAGGTAACTGTTTGTGTATAACCAATTAGTCATTCTTATGAGAATAGGTGCCTCATGTTCATCATCAGGCCACACAAGTCGTGGCTCATGGTGAGTATCATGGCTGTGCATTTTTTATGTCTGTTGACCGTGGCTGATTCAATGCCAGGGTTTCAGAGAAAGACTGTTGGCAGATCCCAAGTTCTTAAATAGATTAGCAATAGAGGAAACGATATCAGTAACTACTACCCTCATGGCACAATACCAGAAGCGAAAAGGAAAGTTCTTTGAAGAGATTGACTATGTTGTGACGGACACTCTCAGAGGAATAGTAGTTGATTTCTTTACAGTATGGCTTCCAGCCCCCACGTTATCGTTTCTTTCATATTCTGATGATGCTAATGGACCTAATAGCATAGATGCACTCAAGGGTCTTCTGGGGTCCATACCCGATAATGCATTTCAAAAATCTCTTGCTGGGAAGGACTGGAATATTGGCCATAGAGTTGCTTCAGTGGTTTTTGGCGGTATAAAGCTTGCTAGCGTTGGATTCATTTCCAGTCTTGGAGCCGTGGCTGCCTCAAATGTATTGTACACCTTACGCAAGGTCCTCAATCCAGCCCTCATGCAAAAGAATAGAAGATCACCAATATTGAAAACCGCAATTGTTTACAGTGGTTTTCTTGGGACATCAGCTAATCTCCGGTATCAGGTAACTAAAATAACTGATCATTAACCTCCTCTATAGCTTATGTTGTTTATTTTTATGCAAAATTTTAAGTGTTAATATCAATATTGTTATAGCATGTATTTTAAATCCCTCTCTTTTAGGCAACAAGAACCGGATATAAACCACACCAAACAGACCCTGTATATCCTACATGAAGGTAGGCCTGCCAGGGGGGATATGTATGCAGACCTTCCCACGAGATAGAGAGGTTGTTTCTAAGAAGACCCCCAACTTGCAAAAAGAAAGAGACATAACTAGAAAGCACAATGATAGGCCACAAATAAGCAACAGAGTTATAAAAGAATGTAAAGAGCCTGACAAAATAAAAAGCACACTAGGCACCAAGAAACTCCCTATCTCTGACACCAGAAACCACCAACCTATCTGAAGACTCTCCCCAATCAGCCCTCTAGCCTCCCCTCCCCCCCCCCCCCCAAAAAAAAAAAAAAACATTCCTCCTTGCAATCGACTACCCTAATCCGCCACCTCCGAGTACTCCTTTCTGAGATCATGCTCTCTAAAAGAGCTAAAGCCTTTGTGTCCATCCTCCACTGCTGAAGGGCTTAGATGATCAACGCAAGAACTAGAGTATAAAATTTGAAAACCAACCAAGGGCTTGGTGATTTGTTCATGAAGAATGTTCAGAACCCACCACATTTATCACTCTTATCTGATGAAGATCTCCAACATCACCCATTGGTTATGAACAGCTACCCTCTCTTGTGCTGCATGCGCCTCTTCTGGAAGATATTTTTACATGCAAACATACAATATTCTATCACCTAACAACATTATGGTGCCATTTTCACTACAATGTTTGGCAGCTCTTGTTAACACGAGTCCGTGGTTGTCTTTGTTATGACTAATTCTCATTTTTTCATAATAAACCATAATATCAATTTGATCCTACTATGGCCATAGGCAAGACATAAACTGCATCATTTGATCTATTGAAGAATATTGATTGCTTCCACCGTTTAATATGAATTATATGCATATTCCTTGGTTATTACCATGGGTTCTTTATTAACTTGAGTGCAACTCATAATGCCAGATTATTGCTGGACTGGTGGAGCATCGGGTTTCAGATATGTTTGCCGACCAAACTTTGTTTGTAAATATGCTATCGTTTGTGGCGCGAACAATCAACTCCTATTGGGGAACTCAGGTTTGATGCACCTCTATCTATAATCAATGCTAAATAACTTCTAACTGTTATTTAAACTCTTACTAACAAACCCTTTGGAGTTTTCTACGTTTTTTTGTCATTTGCATTTGATCTTTTCTATTCAATCGTTGATTAATCTTTCACAATGACCCTAATTATTCAACCACTGTAATTTGAGTAGTGGGCATTCTGCTTTATCCTAACTTTCATTTCTGTTATGTATTGTGCAGCAATGGATAGATCTTGCACGGTTTACAGGACTACAGACTCAAAAGAGTGAACCCGAACCCGAACCCTCCTTAAACCAAACCATAGAATCTGCAAATTCCACACCTTTAAACACTACTGAAGAAGCTGGTATTGATGAAATCAACAGTCAATGAGATGGTAAGGAACAACTTTCTGATTTAATCTTACACTGTATTCTCGGATTCAAGTAGAAAAGAAAAAAATTGAAGGGAAAAGAAAGTTCACTTTTACGAATATACCCTTTTTATATTTATTTTGGCACTCTTAATTCAATGGGTAGTTTTGTAGTTTTACTTTATTGTCGAAAGGTTGTCATTTCTTTTCTTCCCGAAATGTGAGAAGAAGGTTTCAGGAAGAAACATATCATTTATTTTCCCTTCTAAAAAAATCCTACTACATGTGATTTTTAGTTTTCCCTTCCTTTCCTTCGTAAAAAAGTTGGTTCCGAGAACACAGTATAATGATTATAAATACATTATTATAATAATAATTAAATACAAATGTGAGCATATTGGATGAATTTGGGCATTCTTTGAACTTGTTTAGGTGTGCACCTGACTTATCTTTGGCTTTGTATAACCCACGGGGCAGGTAAAAGGGAACCAATTTTGATCGACTAACCATTTCATACTTGGGATACTAGTCTTAATCAGGTAAGGTATATCCACCTGATTCACCTAGTTTTTTGTTTTTTTTTTAATTTAAAGAATACAGTGTAATAACAATTGGTCATTTCGGACATTTGGCCTTATAGTGTTGTTTATTTACATATGGGCATCAAATATCATCACCCATACAAATTACATTACATATTTTGACTTTTGAGGATGGAACAGAATAACGGGGCTGTTTACCAAATGCTTACCATGTAAGCGTTTATCGGCAATAGCACCATCTTCATTTCTTTTATCAAGTAACATTCTCGGTCATTAAAATAGATTGTTGGTAAACGTCTTTTACCTAGTAAGTGCTTATCGGATAAGATTCTTGGTCATTGCTATGTCTCTTAAGTCTTAACTAGTATTTTTGATCTTTGTCATGTCCATCCACTAAAGCAAGTGACATCCGATAAACACTTACCAGATGAGCATTTGGTAAACGGTCCCTAAGGCCTAAGATGATAATAAATTGTTTGAATGTTAAGACGGTTCACTATACATGAACGCATTAGGCTGTAAGTTGAATCATTATGATTTATGCAAACGAAAAGAAAGCTTTGATGAAGCCAAGGAGGGGTTTGCAGGTGCGATCACGCTGTAGAAAATATTTTAGTGTAAAATCGGAAAGTAAATAGTTTTACTTCTCCAAAAATCGCAAACTGTTTTGATTTTACAAGTTGAGGCATGTAAGATTTGGCTAAATATGTAACGATTAGAATTACTTAGGGATAGTTTTCAAATGATTACTATGCAAGTGTTTATCAACAAAAGTCTTCAGTGTTATTGAGTAACATTCTTGGCTATCAAAATGACTTATTGGTAAGTGTTTATTATCCGCTAAAAACCTTTATTTAGGTTATGTAATTTAAAATCTTCTTAATTTTGTGATCCATCGATCACATTAATGTTTCTAAAACTAGAAATGAAAATCTTTTCAATATATGAAGTTTTCGATCATGATTTTCAAAATGAAGAGTTTGATTCATTACTCTACAAAATAATGAAAACAAAATTAGATTCATTTTAGTTTGATTTGCCCTATATATGCATATAGAGGAAGGATCATGCGATAAATTAAACATTTTATGAGAAGGTGCGAAATTTCAATATCATATATGATTACACTTTTCTGGGTGAAATTAATCATATCTGATTAAGTGTTTATGTATTGTCAATGCAACATGTGTTTAGTTATATATAATTAAGTTTATGTGTCATGCATTATGCATATAATCATATATGACATTGAAACTTCTTGTTTTCTCGCAAAATTTTTAATTTCTCATTTGAATTTGCCCCTATGTATGTACGTATGTATGCATATGCCTAGCCATATTGCATATATTTTCTTTTTTTGGGAGTTCAAAGTATAATCTTGTTGCTTAAACGGAAACTTTTAAAGGGCACACACAAAAATTAACGAAGTTTATTTTAGTTTTTTATTCAGTATAATAATAATTTACTATGTATTTTGTAATTTCAAAGCAACAAAGAAGGAAAAAAAGATATTACTAAATGAATCTCTTTTGAATCAAATCACTTTGTGTTATGAAAATATAAAAAGAAGTTCAATATGTATGAATATAAAAACGGTCAAGGCGTAGACTCCAATAAAATAAAAAGAGTTCATTCATAATCATCAGTATATAAAAAAATCTACCACATAACAGTGAGATAACATGTCTTAGTGAAGACGTAAACTCCAATACTTTTATCTCGAAATCTCGTCTCTCATTCCACTTCAATCAAATATATAATAATTTATTTAATTTATGAATTTATTTTATTTAGCATTTGCAAATGATTCAAGATTTTTATTGCAGATATACATAAAATATAAAAAATTCACACAAATAGTCATTTCATTTATGAGTTTTCATTTTATCATAAACAGATACATAAAAAAAACATGTTGATTATATTCAAATTTGGAGGCAACAATAATTTTAATTAATCATGACGACATTCTATATATGAGCCTCTTCAAACAGGGTTTATTGCTATTGATTCAATGATTCCAATAGGACGTGGTCAGCGAGAATTAATTATTGGGGACAGACAGACTGGCAAAACAGCAATAGCCCACTTTGTAAATTGGTTTTCTGAAATAGTCATAGTTTACGCACGCACTTTACGCAAAAAAAAAAATATCTAGGTAAAGTTTTGTTTTTTACTTTTTGAGATTCAAAAAATAATTTTTTTAAAAGTTTATGCAAAAACAATGCTTCATGCATAAACTTTTTTTTTAAAATATCTTTTTTTTTTCAATTTTTTCATTTCTTGATTTAAAAAATAATAATTTAAATAAAATTTAAAAATATATATTTAAACTTTTGTGCGTAAACCTTATTTTAAAGAAATTTTTAATTCTTTTTCGTGTTCTTTTAATTTCCATGTTTTAAAATATAACTTTTATATACTTTATAATTGAACAAATTATATGAAAAAATAACGTATTTTAACTTGATTCCTATTTTTGATAATATATTTTCAAAATATCTATTTTGATACATAAGATGTAAAGTTTTAAAAATCTAAGTACCTAAATAACCGGTTGAAACATTAACTCTTTCTTCTAATAAATCACAATACATAAAAACTAATTTTAGATTAGGATATTAATGTCGACAAATAATACTGAGTTAGATACCACATTACTCGTTATATCATCATGATAATTAAAATATGATTTATCGGTTACCTGAATACTTAAATATTTAAAATTTTATATCTTAAATATCTAAATGAGAATTTTGAAGGGTAATAGTTTCAAAATGGTATATGTGTAAATTTCCTATAAAAACCTATCACAAACGCCATTATCAACACCTGATAAGGTAAAGGTCAAAGTCGATATTTCTAGTACATCCTTTAAATTCCATCCAACGGTCAGAAATTTAATGCTAACCCAATCCGACGGTTAGATGTTTAATGCTCCTTGTCAAACATCCCTATTCGTTGATTTTTATATAGATCCCTTACCTACAACCCTCCATTGACTGGCACTATTCATCCCCCCTCTCCTTCCCCATGGGTCCCTTAACAAGAACATTGAAGATCGGAATTATTGGATTTGGTCCTTTTGCCCAGTTTCTGGCGAAGACGATGATCAAACAAGGCCATCTTCTCACGGCAACTTCAAGATCAGACCACTCCGGCCATCAGGGCGTCAATTTCTTCAGGTATGTACAACACTTGATTGCACACACTACTTGTCATCAATGCACTGAAATCTCTGTGTACGAAGGGATATGGAAGAGTTCATGGGATTAGAACATGATGTCATTCTCATATGCACATCAATCCTCTCTGCGTCAGAGGTAATCAAATCCATTCCATTTCATCGCCTGAAAAAACCAACACTGTTTGCTGATGTACTCTCTGTCAAAGAATACCCTAGGCAACTCCTCCTCCAGGTAAACAAACGTGATTAATTGGTTTTAAACTCTAATTTACTCTCATGTAGATTGATAATTAATCGGTAACTAGTTTTTGTTAATTGCTAATATGAATGTAACAATTTGCGGATCGAAGGAAGTTCCTGAGGATTCGGATTTGGTGTGCACTCATCCGATGTTCGGGCCAGAAAGTGGGAGAGACGGGTGGAGAGATCTGACGTTTATGTACGAAAGAGTACGAGTAAGAGATGATGATTTATGCTCGTCGTTTCTTACTATCTTCGAATGTGAGGTACATCATTATCATCATGGCTTTTGGATTTGGAATTCCGTTGATTCCTGCAAAAAAGCATATAGATTCAAATAAGAACACTTGCACTACAAAATGCTTTCAGGGATGCAAAATGCTCGAAATGAGTTGCGAAGAGCATGATCGACTTGCTGCTGAGAGTCAGTTTCTTACTCACACCATAGGCAGGTACTCAGAGTTCTCAAGAACCACTTTGTTGCAGTAATTTTAGAACACAAAGTGCAGTAAATAGGTGAAAACCATTTGAATCACTAAGGCCATCTCTAAAGGCTATCACCAAAATTGGTATTAAATGTGGTGCAAATAATAAATCTTTTTCAATGCGTAACGCCAAATCCAACACAAAAAATTGTAAGATTCGAGGGGTGTATATATATATTAATTTTTTCATATCGGTGTAAAATTTGGTATAAATGAACAGTGCTGCACTAAATATGGTGTTCCCATCACAGTGATGCAGTGTTAAATTTGGTATTTGGTGTCCGTTTTAGAGATTGTTTAAGGGTGATTCGGTATGTTGGAGAGGATGGGATATGGTGGAACCAAAACAGACAGACAAGATAGTAAATTACTAAAGTATCAATATTAAGTTAGAACCCGAAAACTTTCATCTATTCTTTCACGTGCCTACTTATTGTCCTTTGTTCGGTCCGGTCCTGTCTAATTTGCATACCAAGTGCATCCTGAAACTTGTTTTCATAGTAAGGTTTTACATATATAATATATGATGGTCTTATTTAGCTGATGTAGGATTTCAAGGGTAACGAAGGGAGTCGATATTTTTCCTTCTAATTATGACACATTTTACAGGATTTTATCGGAAATGGAGATCATGAACACACCTATAGACACAAAGGGATTTGAGAAGCTTGTTCAAGTGGTATGTTCAAGCTTAGTGCATAATTTCAATATACTATGGCAATGTTTGCTGATATTTGAATGGTAACAAAAAATATACGAAATAAACATCACCCATAAAAGATTACCATTTTCTGTTACCATTTATGTTTAAACTTAAGGGTGGAGGTTTAAATGAGAACACCTCTATTTTACGAGAAAGCGAGAAAACTCTTATCACATGTGATAATAGGCGTGAGGGGACCTTGTAATGTGCGGACGATGTGTTCTACGACTTAGGCCATGCCAAAGGTTGTGTGCGTCTATGATTTAGCATCACATGTGATGGTCTTGATGGATTATAATATCATATCAACAACACTCTTATCACATGTGATAATACTTGTGAGGGGGCTTAATGGTGTAAGGGCGACTTGGCCCGCAACCAAGATCGCATCGAAAATCGTCCGCGTCTCTGATTTAGTATCACATGTGTATAATATGTGATTGAATAATAGTATCACATGTGATTGTCTATAGTAAAAGGGTGTTGCGTTCTCGTAAAATGAAGGTGTTTCCCTAATTTGCTGATATGAAGTGAAACAATTAACATGAGATGGTCGTATGCAGAAAGAGACCACGATGAGGGATAGTTTCGATCTCTATAGTGGACTGTTCATACACAATCGGTTTGCCAAACAGCAGGTGTGAAACACTTCTACTTCTTGTGCAATGTATACATTATGTAGCGTTTTCGGTCAATTTTATGATCTAACAAACGGATTTATTTACGATACCGATTAACATCGATGGCACAGCTGAAGAATTTAGAGAGTGCAGTTCAGAGAGTTAAGGGAATACTAGAAGCAAGGATGAACAAGGGAGATGAACAAAAATGCGATCAATAACGTACTTCAAAGAATCTTTTGGTGATATATTGTTCATATACAAATTAGTTGTACGTTATTAGCTAGTTGAAGTGATTCTGCTTTTTATAATTTTCTTTAATTTAAACTACAGCTGAACCTTTATCTTCTGCAAGCGTATTCAATAGAGGTTGTTTGTTTACCTCTTAATAGTTATATTAAGAGACAATACTTGAATCGTTAAAAGGTGAATCTCGTTTGATAAAAAAAAGTCTGTCTCTTAATGATTCTAAAACTTTTTGAATAATTTTGTATCATGGGTCTCTCTTAATCATTTAGCGCTCTAATTTTATTGTAAACAATTACCAAACAATTATATTTCATTTTTCATTGTATCATGAAATTAAGTCTCTTAATCATTCTGACTACTTAAAAGCCGTTTACCAAACGCTTACTCGAGTAAGTGCTTAGGTATATATCTTTTTTATTTTTCCATATTGGTGTAAAATTTGATAGTAATAATGTTACAATTTATTACACCAAATTTGACATGGGATTTTGTGTCCTTGTTAGAGCCATTTGCTATTAAATTTAGTATTTTATGTCCCCATAGAAGGGGTCTAATAGACTTGGGAATAAGAGGACGTTTACTAAATACTTAAAGGCTGAAAATCTTACCCGGTAAGAGCGATGATAGGTAAGTGTTTACTGGGTAAATTGTTGCATACGATATCGTTTTAATATACTACAATCTTATCTAGTAAAATAGATTATAGTGTTGACTCCTACCGATAAACGCTTACCGGGTAAGTACTTTGGTAAACGGCCCCTAAGAATAAACTCGGAACTTATAGAGTGGAGTTTACAATTATATCTAACGAATTAGTGTCATTTTTTTTGAAGATTAGGTGTGTATATTTAGTTGAGGTTTGATACAAAAGTAGAGTAAATGGATGTTTATCAAAAACTTAATGGGTAAACATTTACCGACAAGAGAAACTATCCAAACTTTCGTTATCAAAATAGATTGTTGGTAATCGTCTCGAGTCTGGTAAGTGTTTACTATGTGATTAAGAGTCTTTTTCCTCACTCACCGGATAATACTCTCTGTCCTTGTTATATCTTTTACCGGACAAGATTCTTAATCTTTGTCATACTCAATCGATAAGGTAATGTTTACCAAATAAACATTTAATAAACGACTCTTAAATAGATGTTTATGGGTCGAGCTCAAGATCATCCGACAACAAGATCATATATAACCTTGTATTTGCCAACCCTAGCGTTTACCCTCATCAAATACTTTGAACGTCTTTATGAAAAATTAGGTGAGGATGTGTCATTTATCGCTTACACCTCTTTCTCAAAAGAAATGTCTATAAGATATATTATTATTACATTTTTAATCAACTAAAATAATATTTTTACCTTTAATATTACCGTCCTAAATTAAATGTTTGTAAAGGAAAACGCATATAATTTTAGGAATTTGCAAATATTATAATTTTTAATTAATAAAAAAAACACAAGTTTAGCAATAATTGTAGTCTTTATCTTATAGTTAAAGGTATAATGAAAGATTAGACATTTATCATGAAACAAACTAAAGTAATAATATAGACATTTATTTTAATACAGATGAAATAAAAAACAGATAAATTTTCTTTTATCTCAAAATAAAGATGTGTTTCTTTTTAAAAAAATGAGTTGACTAATATTTTTGAAAGAATAATTAGCTTAAATGACCATTTTCTCCATCGAAATTCGTCTTCTAACTGTTTCTTTTTTGGATTGACCCAAATGTCATTATATTCCGTAATATATATTGCGAATCTAACTAAAAGACAAAATAAAAGTCAAATTCAACTAGTTTACCATATGTGTTGATTTTTAATTTTTTTTGCCTTTACAAACCTGGATATTGTGAAAATATTGACATTTGAATCAACTGGAGAGAGAGAGATGATTAGAAAACCAATTTAAAAGACAAAAATGAACATTTAGTTTTAACCACAAGGGTGGTGCTTTATTGGTTTGAACTTGAATCCAAATATCAAAAGTATCAGGAGGTCGCAGGTTCAAATTCAAGTAGGAATAAAAATCTCCTTATGATCACGGAGGTTCAAATACGATGACTCCAGACTATCTATAAAACAAATGCTCGTCCTAAGATTAGTCGGTCCGTATAACAGGTTGGATATCCAGGTTAATACACAAATTAATCATTTAATTCTTTGGACTTTTTTAAAAATTAAAATAATAAATATTAATTAATAATTAAAGGTGGAGCTCTAAAAGCCAAAAAGAACGTGAACATATGAAAAGCACGGGGTTAAGATAGGAACAATGACGTGTCTAGGAGATTTGGATAAGGATCTCTCAAGGGCCATGTTGCACGCTCCCCGTCGTCAGTAAAAAGTCGATTATCACCCTCACTTTATGCCTCCTCCAACCCTACCTGCTTGGACGATATCGTCATTTTCCCACGACCACTCACTGAAAACGATGCCAACGTCAATAATTAACTGAGTGGCACTTCTGTAATTTTGACCACATCTATGTCTCTTTTACAAGCTGCCCTATATATATATATCTCGCCACAGTTAAGGTGGAGCTCTCAATTGGAAGATATTTTCTACCTACCTTCTGAAAGTAGTGTTAAGGTGCAGTTAGCAATGCCGGACGTGATGTCTCGTGAGAATGGTCTTCTATCGTCAGCTTTGAATCCGAACGCTCCGATGTTTGTACCGGCGGCGTATCGCAACGTAGAGGATTTCTCTGACCAGTGGTGGTCACTCGTTCGCTCTTCTCCTTGGTTCCGAGATTACTGGCTTCGTGAGTGCTTTTCCGAATCCCTGTTTGACCTAAATTGTTACGACGACTATGATTCGTTCTTCCCTGACGAAGATTCGATCTCTGTTGAGGATAAAATCCGTGGATCTGAAGGTAAATGGTTCGAAATCACCAATTCTTCGAATAATCGGTTCGTTAGTCGGTTCTTACTTTATTGTTGTTTTTGTTTTCCTTCCAGACGAAGAGAAAGAAGTTCGCAGGGATTTGATTTTGTCGAGAATGTCGAACTGGCGAAAGGCGCGTTCGATGGACTCGCCGAGGCTCTACGAGAAGGCACCGAAGATTGTGAATGTGAAAGTGAGCCCGAGGCCGATCCATCAACCGCGTTAGATCAAATGATACACAGATTTAACGGCGGATGGAGTTAGATCTCCTACTTTATGTCTTTGTTTTAGCAAAGATTTCCCTTTAGAGTTACATGTACAGTGAGCAGCTTAATGTCTGAGAGGGACTACAGCTTTTCTACTTCGTTTGTAAACCCGATTGTAACTATATGAATAAAATTGATAACTAGATCCAGGAGGCCTTTGTGTATACTTTCTTCTGCTTCATTTAAAGCCGCTCAAGAATGTTGAATAACAATAACTATCATTCTATCAACATTCTTGTCATCTTCTTTACCAATTCCTTTATTGATATTTAGAGCTTTTATAAACAAAAAGAGTAGTTTTTAACTTAACTTGGGGAGTTCTTTTAAGTCGGTCTGTAACATGTTTTAACTTGACTTATTTAACAATTTGTCGGTTATGAAGTTCCAACCAAGGGACTCGAATGATACGCTACTTTTAGCGTTTTTAATAAAGAGAAGTTAATTTTGCCGATAACGGAAGAGAAACGATACATATGTCGACATTCAAACGCTATAGATGTTGTGTGATCGGAGATGAGGCCATTTTTGGTGTCTTTAGTTTGTACCAATGTGTATTTTTTAATGATATGCTTGGAGCGGCAGATACAGATTAACACGATGTTTTTGCCGGCTGGAGGAAACGGCAAACTTGGTGCGGCACCCTTCTCGGCAATCGGTATCATGTATAATGGACTGAACCTGTTTCTTCGGTTTCTTTGACATTAAAAAAGGTTTGATAACAATGACGTATGTGTTATATGAGCCCACCAATCCAGTATACTTTTTTTAAGTATGGTTGCACTTAATTTCTTTTAGTGTTAAAAGGCACCATCAGTCTTTTGATAAAAGTTGAATTTGGTGTTAAGTACTAAGGAGCTGTTTACCTAAACACTTGCTCGATGAGTACTTACCGGTAAAATTCAACACTATCGCTTACTTACCGGATAAAATTTTCTTCACTAAAACGCATCGTATGCAACAATTTATCCCGGTAAACGTTAACCATGGTATGAGTCGTCGTCCTCACTTACCGGGTAAGACTTTCGGCTCTTGCCTTCACTCTTACCAGTAAGATTTTTAGTTCTTGTCATGTTCATTCGGTAAAATAAACTGACTTGGTAAGCATTTGGTAAACGGCACTTTAGTGTCTTATCATAATTTTTTTATGCATCAACTCAATCGTTAATTTGAGCTCTTCACAATTTGTAATTAAGATAATGTAAATGATAATTAAGACGATAATCCATATAAGATACAAAGTTTTACATAAAAAAGCGAACATGTTGACTATTTATAGAACTCTTAATAATTATAATGACCCAATGTTTCTATTTATGAGAATCTTTTACACCTATAATTATTAGCTCGATGACTGGGTTTAGACAGAGCCTAAATTGGGCCAGTGAGAGCCTCAGATAATCAGACAACTGTATCTATACCATCTTATTAAGCAAATTTAGTAAAGTCTTAATGTCTTAAAATACTAAATGACCAAGATACCTTTTATACTATCCTTATGTCACTTTTTCACCCCCTCCTCTCCTCACATACACTCATCCTCTCACAACCGAATTTTTTTAAATTATAATTTTACTTACAGTTTATACCCCTATAATTAATTAATTAATTTACTTTAAGTCATTTACTTTTAAATGTTTCATTTTAAACATTTATCAAATTAACATACATAACCGTATATCAATTAAAACATGTTTAAAAATACATTTTTATACAAGTTACACCATTATAATCGTCTCGTTAATACCTTCGAATGAGTCCAATATTGAATAGTTTTTTACTTAATTATATTATTATATATTATATATACTGTAAAAAAATATTTTTAATATTTACGATTTATACTTTTATAGTTATTTATTTATATATATACTATATATTTTGGGGTTAGGCTATCCAAATTGCAATGCATAATATGTTATGAATTAATATGTTCTTGGGTTTTTTTGAAATATATATATACATGTATTAATTCAACATCTAAAACCCATCTTGATCTGTCAAATTTGTAATTTTCTTTATTGATTTTGAATGTTTATCTTAAAACTCAAGAATCTTGGTTTTTTGCTCTTTGTGTAAATCGAACACATTTGTGGAGTCGTTTATATATGTTGGATTTTAAATATATTGGATTTTAAACTGTCATACAATTTTTTTCATTGATAGTCTGTAATTAGAACCATAACTCTTATTTATTTAAATTGTATTAATATGTAAAGACCAAGTGTAACATATATTATCGTTAAATCTTATCTTATAAAACCAGTGAAACTTCAAAATCGTTAAAATTCATGGCTCTCGCTGTATTGCGCGAGTATACAACTAGTAAAATTATAAAAACAAGACGTTATTGCATAACTTTGTAGATAAAAATGCTTGGTATTGGGCCTCAGCTTGGGCCAACGCCATGGCCCCGCCCTGCTCTTGAATCGGGCCCTGAATCTAATTTATGAAAAGTTATAACTACTACTTATCATAAGATAGGGATTGATTCATAAACCCCTAACAAACTATCTTATCTTAAATAATTAAGTTTTTAAACTATTTTCTAATAAGAAAATTAAATCATTTTTAATATAATTAATTTTTAAATTTAAACAAATCAAATAATAAAATAATATCTTATTTTATTTATTTTGATATCATTATATATATAAACACACACACACATATATGTGTAAAAATATTGTTTTTTACTTTTTTATGGAAAAAGACAAAAGAATAGGCAAAAAGCTAAAATGGTCCTCGATTTAACAGAATTAATGAAAGCGTTAGTCAGAGGGATAGTGGCCAAAATAAATCGAATACCACAAGAACCAAATCCGCGATAAATATACTATGCTGACTCTAGTAAAAAAAACATCAAACCACAGGGACTAAATCCACAATTCACTCAAAAAAGTGGGCAAAAACTACTTATTTAACAGTGGTTAAAATGCGGTCTTACCCGCAAATCAAGTGGTCATCTTGGGATTAGTCGGCTCACATAATAGGTTGGATATCACAAGAGAATTTTTATTCCTCCTTGGATTTGAACCTAAGACCTCCAAGCATTTTTAACCTTTGAAGCTCAAGCTTAAACCAATGAGGCATCACCCTTGTGGGTAAAAAAACTACTTGTAACTAACTAAAAAAGCATTAAAGTAAAAAAAGAAACCTAAATCAGTTTTATTTATTTCCAAACCTTACGTCCTACAAACCCCTCGCAAACAATGGTAGCACTCCCTGTCGCGACTCCTCTTGCCCCATTATTGTATGTTCATCATATCGGCTATTATGCTCTCTGTCATTAATCTCCCTCTTTTTAATCTATTTTTATAGGGTTATAAGTGGTTTTGCTTTAAAACATTTCCAGTCGATTAAAGTAATATTTTGAATTAAAATGATGTAATTTTCTTAACCTTTTTCCTTTAACATATTCCTGTGGCGTACTAATAACTTTTTCAAACATAAGTTTTTTAATTTTTAATTTTTAATTTTTAATTTTTAATTTTTAATTTTTATAGTCTCATCCCTCCATCAACAGCCTGCAAAACATAGCAACATCCCGACCGAACCTCCTATTTCTATTTTAAGTTACAAACAACGAGCGTGTTAGCCACGCCACCTCAAGCCACACTACACCACATTTTACTTCAGTGATTAAATTCGAACGTTGATGGCAGGCATGTGTGCTGACCTGTACTGCATTATGTCGGCATGCCATGTGGGTTTTCAGATTCAGACCTTTCTCTTCTGTCTCTGTCTCAAAAGCGTGGGGTAGCCGTGTCCTTAAATTTCCTTCCTACGTTTCACGTTGGAGTATTTGGTGGATCACTGACTTTATTAACCAAACCAAAGGGGAGGTCTTTGCTTGCCCTCAGCATAAATATCCCATTTACTTTAACAAATCATGAACCTACACGTGGCAAACATCGATCTGGGTATGATTCTTTTCTTCCCAAACCCCCCCTCTTTCAATTACTTGTAAAGTTGACTTTTATCAATACCCAACAAACCAACCTATCTCTCCCCCCTCCAAAGAAATCTATCAGAAAAATCTTGAAGAAGAGGGGGGTAAAATTGTAAATTACAAGGGATGGGAAACGCACTGAGGTTTTTGTATGGTGAATGTTGTTCCAAGCCAACCACCGGTGGTGGTGGCAATTGGGGGAATCAACAGCAATCACATGGTTACCATGGTGTTCCGACAACCACCGCCGGTGTCTCGGCCCTCGCTCGAGATATCCATCACTTTCAAATGACCTCCCAGGTACCGTCAAATCCGTTATAACATATGAAATTCGGCCCTCGCGCAACTTCAAATTGTCAAATTTACTACTTTCCGATATAATTCGCAACTGGATATTCTTCTTTACCACACCTATGCAGCAAAATCTTGTTTTTGAACAAACCCAATTGTGGAATTGGTGTTGCAGGTTCCTGAAGGTTTGAGTAAGCATGTGGTTTCATCCAAGAAGGCTCAGTCTAACTGGTAAGCTTTTTACCAAGTGAGATAGGCGAGTGAAAGACTTGTAAAGGTTTCAGGATTTTAATTTGACATGAGTAGTTTAGTAATTTACCGATCTTGTCACCACCCTCATTTTTGTTCCAACTTCCACCTTTTTTGGTGGGACAGAAAAAGATGCATTTTTGTCCCATTCGGATCCTGTGGTGTCCCAAACTAATGTCGTAGCAAACATGGGACAAGTTTTTCTACTGTCCTGTCCCACATGCCAAATGCAACCGAGGGTTATCTATGTAACATGTAATTTTGCATAGTTGTTTTGCTGGTTTTTTGATACTCTTCACAAATGATGAACTGAAGGTATAACAAACTTTCCGAGGCATGGGGACAATCAAAACCTCCACCAAACTCACCTGAAGATGTTTCCAGGCTTGTCGTCAACACCTTAAAGAATCACAAAAAGGCCGATGTCGAGGTCCTCTCTCGCTCTCTGTATGTGTGTGCGTATAAATGTATTAAGGCATGCAACAAGAACTCTAAATTGGGTATTTTTGATCAATTTTATGAAGGGTTTGCTATCATTTTATGGTCTACCTCTACCTCATTCCCTTGTTGAAGGCAATGCCGGCCAAGCTCCAGCGGTTCCCAACGGAGTCAAGTTTGAATTAAACACACTTCCTGTATGAATGTCTACCATTCTAAGTTGAATCCTAAATTTCTTATTGCAAATTACTTTCAAATAAACCTGATAAGAAATCTACTTGACTATAAACTAAACAAAGGTGGATGCAAAAGCTGTAGCAGATGGGGACACAGTGACAGTTTACGTGAGTACCTTGGATCCTCGGGAGGCAGCATGTATTCCGCGAGATGTACAAGTGGCAGCGGTAGAACGTGTCAAAGCACGTGCCCAGAGGAACTACACCAAGGCAGATGCACTCCAGAAGCAAATTACAGATGCAGGATATCGGTAATTGACCAGGTCAACGTCACCAATCCTGTTAAAAACACACATTTTCGAGTCATCTAACTTGCATAATTACAAATTTCAAATAATGCAGGATGCTAAATATCCAAAATGAGGAAATTCTAGCCCGAAAATATCGTATCAGACTAAGGTAAAATATAGAATATAGATATAAATTGTGTTTCAGGGACTTTTTCCTTTTGTGTAATATGAAGAATGGGGTGTTTTAACATGAAACAGGGGAATAGATGCACCAGAAAGCTCAATGCCTTATGGGAAAGAGGCAAAGGAGGAATTGACTAACATGGTCGTGGGAAAGCCCTTGAGAGTTTTGATCTATGATGAAGATCGGTATGGCCGTTGTGTTGGCGATATCTACTGCAATGGCGCCTTTGTCCAGGTAGATCTCAAATAACAAATTAGATGATAAAGACAGTAATCTAAACCAAACCAGACCAAACCAAATGTACCCGGTATATCCACTCAAAACGAGGGTTTGAAGGTAGAATGTATGGAGACACTTCCTCTGCCCCAAGAGGTAGAAAGGTTGTTGTGTAGTTTGTCCAAATATGAAGTGTGAACTTAAATGTTTTTATGTATAACAAACAGGAACGGATGTTGAAGAAAGGACTTGCATGGCATTACGTTGCTTATGACAAGCGACCGGAATTACAAAAGGTAACATCACCTCTTTTGTTCTGTTATTTGATTGAGCCATGAACAATTATTCAGAAAATGACTACTGTATTCTTTCTAACCTCAGTGGGAGAAAGATGCTAGAGCTAAAAGAATCGGCTTGTGGGCTTCAGCGCATCCTGAAATGCCATGGGAATATAGGAAGAATCGACGTGATAAAAGATAGTCTTTTTGTGAGACCAGAGCAATAATTACTTGAATTTTATGCAAAAGAAGCGTACTCATTGTAAGTTGTAACGAGAAATGTAGAAATACATCAATAAGCATTTAGCACAAAGACTTGTATTGATCAAATATGTATATGACATTTGTAACAAACCAAAATAACTTTATTATTGACAACCAAAGATCTGAGTTTTGATAACTAGAATTCCTTACATGCAATGCAACTATGCAAGTAGTTCTAATTAAGGACCGTTTACCAAACGCTTACTGGATAAGCGCTTACCGGCAAGAGTCACCAGTCCTCCCTTACCTTATCGGGTTACATTTTTAGCCATAAAAATGGATTGTTGGTAAGCGTTTATCACCATGTAAGAGTCACCACCCACACTTATCGGGTAAGAATCTCGAACCTTGTCTTGCCTTTTACTAGGTAAAAATATTCGGTCCTTGATATGCTCACCCGGTAAGGTAAGTGACCCGGTAAGCATTTGGTAAACAAACCCTAAGATTCATTCCTCACACCTACCTATAAAAAAAACTTCTCTCAAACGAATTCAGTATCATTATTAACAGCTTGAAACTCAAATCAGCAAAAGTTTAACCAACAATTTTCTACCATAAACATCAGGTTTAGCTTTAAACTAAGTTTTTACTTCAGGGAAGTACATACTCCCACTGTAAGACACAAGTAAACTTCATAATTAAGGTGAAATCTTACCTCAAATGACCAAAATTTGTTTCCTTACTCGGCTACTTTTGGCCACACCAACTTCCATCCCCTCCATTTGTTTTCTTCACACTCTTAGGTAATAGTTTTCGCCTCTTAAGACATCCATCTAATCAGGGAAATATGGGTGGGGTTTACCTACGAAATGGCTTAATCACCCCTAAAAATGTCTCAAATCAGGCCAACTAATCCAAGATTGTCCCTAACATCCCAAAGCATAAAAATTAGAACCTTTTTAGCTTCTAAAAGCATGTCAAAGTATTTATAAAATAATTGGGTGGTAAACTAAAGGGCCGTTTCCTAAGCATTTACCGGTTCAATTACCTTATCGAGTGAACATAACAAAGACCGAAAATCTTATTCGGTAAGAATGAAGGTAGGGATTGAGAGAGAGTCTTACCTGGTAAGTAGGGTGATGATACGCTTACCATCAATTCATTTGATGACCGATAATGTTATCCCTTAAAGGTGACTTGGTAAACGCTAAGCATTTACTCCCCCTAAATGATACCACCATCTGGAAACCACATAAGTCGCAAAAACCAACCATATGAAAGCAGAAAGCCACATAAAATCCCATTAATCTCAATGCTAGTCACAACAGGATGCATCACAGCATCAGAAAACTGTGCCTGCGAATTCTAACGATGTAAACCTCATCAATGATCTGAATATAGTTGAAAATACACGGGTAATAGGGCATTGCTATAATAATCCTCCCTCATTCCCACAGTTAAAACGCTCGTTTCCAGATTTCAAGAACCATAAGATATCAGGATTGAGAGATTGTGTTAAACGAAACGTTTCGAAACAAGTAAAAGAAATAATAAGCAGGGAATATAGTCGAACACCTTCTGTGCATCTTTATTGTACCCTAGTATCTGTACCGCAACTGGGTATCACCGGGTTTTGGGCTCTTTCTACAGATCACCGCCTCAAGAACTCCATCAACTCCGCCGGCGAAATACGACGGTCCATTGACGACTTCTTGTTCTCAGTCATTATGTTTACCGGTCTTCTAGATGCGGGTATAGCCTTGCCTTCGGACGAAATCTTGGACCCTAGCCTAATATGGAACTGATTTGCTCCGCAAACTTGAACTTAAAATTTTAACAATTTGTTAAATCATATCCCAAAATAATAATAATAATTTTATTTTAAGTAAACTACAAATTTGGTCCTTGTGGTTTATCTAAAATAATAATTTTCGTCTTTATAATTTCTAAATTACAAGATAGATATCGTGGTTTGGAAAAACGTCCGGATTTTGTCCCTCTCTTTAAAGACCGTTAAAAAAATTTGTTAAGTAAGGGCATTTTCATCCTTTTACCGATTTTTTGTTTTTCAACCCAATCAAAAATTATTGGGATCAAGATTATGAAATCAATTTCGATGGGTAAAAAACATCGATAAAAGAAACCAATTTCATTTAACGGAATTTTTTAACGGCCTTCAAAGGTAGGGACCAAATATAAATGTTTTTACAATCCATGATAGTCATCTTATAATTTTGAAACTACAATAAAGAGAAGTGTTATTTTAACAAACAGCATGGACCAAATTTATAGTTTACTATTTTATGTCCATAAAAGTCTTTTTATGAGTTTGTAACCTATATGTACTTTATTAGGAGGAGAGAGCTTCTTTTGAAAACCTATCAAATTATGATAACTTTGACAATTTGTGCATCATGCGTTATTTCATGTGATTTTTTTTTCATCTAAGACTATGATTTAGAATATTGAATATTATATATTTGTTTCGCAATGTGTTTGTTTTACATGTATTCGGTTCATAATGTGAACTTTTTTTTACGTGTTTCTGAAACAAAAAATACATATAAAAAAATTTCATATTATGAACCGAATACATATGAAACAAATATAAACTGCTTCATCTGAACGGACCGGTCTGTATCATTGGACGGTGGACCTTTCAACTAATTTGGTTGTTTTAAGTAATTAGATTACTTTTTTCTCCAATATTTTTATTAAATAAAATTTTCCGATATTTACTATTTATAAATATTACCAGCTTCAATCCAAATTATTTTATTTTTATTTTACACATCTTCATTCTTCAGCTCTTTTAATGTTGTATTTTTTAATTGTATTTTAATTATAAATAAGTAATTTTTAATTATTATGTTATATCTATACTATATTATAAAGCATTTGACAAAAATTCTTAAAAACCATTTTTTATGCATGAAGTATTATATATTGATGCATATTACTTAAAATTCAATATTATAAGTAATCATGTATAAGTACAACTTATTAAAGCTCTATGTTTGAATTCGTGTAATTAACTATGGATAAACATAATCAGATAAAGAATAAACATCTCATTTTAAAATATAAAAAAATTAAAATATAATTAGAATAATTATCGAGTTTTAACAAAATAATTAACTATTATCTTTATAAGAAAATTATATTACTAAACCAAATATAAATTACTTTCTTATTAAACTTAAATTAAATTATAATTAAAAAATTACAATTTTAAATAGTTAATTTGATACTAATGTCGATATTTTTGTCAAATTTTTATGATATCTTCAAATTTATATTTTATTCAAAAATAAAAACTTCATCGTTTTTTCAAAATTACATAAGACCATATTTTTGTGATTAGTTGTATTTATTTGCATATGTGTGATTAGCTGTATTTATTTGACATGTTTCTTCGTTATCTTTTTCTCCCAACATGTCATTTTCGATTTCAAATCAGATTTTTTGTCATGGTTGGAAAAGGTTATTTATATTTTTCAGTGGGTCATAACTTTTTTTATTTATTTTGTAAATAAGTTGTTATAGTGGTGGATTAAAAGGGTGTTTGAGATTGTTTATGAAAATAACTTATTGACTTATTTCGGTGTGACACAAGTAATAAACATTTTTTAGTGTTTGGATAAACAACTTATACCGGTGTCAAACCGGTAACAAGAAGTTTTTGAAGAAGTTAAATCATTCTAATTTATAATAAGTTGATAAGCACTTTTGTAGAAAAGCATAAGTTCTTTCAAATAAGCAATCCCAAACACACATCAACATCAAGACTCGTTTTTTACATTCTCAATGCATAATTTGTCTTGATTCTGATATAAAAAACGTGTATATAGCATCATCTGTTGTTATATACACACCTATATAAATCAAAATCAAGTCAAATCGTACATTTAAAATGTATACTAAAACAACTATTTTATGTTGTGTGTGAGGATGACATTAATGTGTAGGGGTGCATTTTGCATAACTCATGGATAAAATATGGGTAATTCTAAGGGTACTCGTAGTGCGGTTTTAGGGTCAAACTGCAAAACGCACCGTATAAACGGTTTGAAGATTTTCTCAAACTGCAAACCGTGCAACATATGCTTCAAATCGCACCATATTTTATGCAATTTAAACCTAATACTTTTCAATCCAATAATTATACAATCACAATTTAATGATAAACTAGACGAAATAGTTCATAATTAATCCAAATATATCTTATAGAAGTTAACCACTATAAATAATTTCGACCACAATTTTTGACAAAAGACAAACAAAAATAACTCAAACAAGGAATTTGTAACGTAAAAGCTTAAAATTAAAACTGAAAAATTAATAAATAATTAATATATATTAGTTACTTTCATTTGATAAATGATTACATGTATAAATATATATCTAAAACCACAAACCGCGCCTCAAAGTGTGGTTCGATCAAAATGCAAATCGCAAACCGCACAACAAATGTTCTAAACCGCATTTTATAGTGTGGGTAGTTTGAGATGAATAACCCTAGGTAATTTTATGAGGTAGGCTAAACGCACCCTCTTTATGTCATAACAAACTCAAATCATGCGTTTTGATATAGAAATAGGTTTTGATGTTGATGTATATGTGAAGAAAACTAATAGATATAAATGCATTTAACAATATACTAGAAGGGTACTCGCGTAATGCAGCGAGATACATCTTAATTGTAATATTTCATTTATTATTTATCTCAGTCGATGTTATAATATGAGCTTATGTGATTTTGAAAAAGCGATAATGTTTTTATTTTTTAATAAAATATAAATTTAAATATATCATAAAAATTTGACAAAAATAATATTGATATTAGTATCAAATTAACTACTTAAAATTCCTCAATTTTTGTGTAATTTTTAATTCAATTTTTTATTATAATTTAATTTAGTTTCAATAACGAAGTAATTCATATTTGATTTAATAATATAATTTTCTTATAAAAATAATAATTAATTATTTTGTTATAACTCGATAATCATCCTAATTATATTTTTGATTTTTTATATTTTAAAATGAGATATTTATCCTCTATTTGATTATGTTTATCTGCAGTTAGTTACACGAATTCAAACATGAATCTTTAATAAGTTGTACTTGTAATCTTGAATTTTAAGTGATATGCATAAATATACAGTACTTCATGCATAAAAAATGGTTTTTAATTTTTTTTGTCA